GCGCCGCCACCGCGCCACGCCAGCACCGGTGAGGGCCGGCGACCCCCGCAGAGAACCCGGCCGGCGCCTCCCCAACGCAGGCGCCCCATCCAGGACCCCAGGCTCTTCTCTCCGCCCTGTTCGGTGTGCCTGGGAGATGGAAATCCCATGAAGCACTTATTTAATCCCATTAAGTGGCCATTAAATGCTCATTCATCCCGTTTGGTTCTTCACAAAAGCGCAGCGCCCAGCCCGGCCCAGGAGGCTGGCCCCAGCAGGGCAGCGGGCAGGGCGGGCTGTCGGGAGTCAGAGGGCAGGAGAGGCATCTGAGTTCCTAAGGCCTCCTGGCCCCTGGCCGCCTCCCGGGGCCCAGGGCCAGGCCCTGGCTCCCCCGCAGCAGTGGGGAGGGTCTGGCCTGGCGGTCTTCTGGTGACGCCGCCCACTGGGCTTGGGACTGCGCCCCACCTGGCTTCTGCAGGGTCCAGGCTCCACCTCGGCCGTGTTGCTGACCGGCTGCCCTTCGCCTGACCCCGCTTTCCCCCCCACTCCAGGGGCCCTGCACCCCCTGCCTGCCCCCCACCTCGCCTTCCCCGCCCCAGGAGCCTCGCACCCTGCTGGTGTCCTGACCGCTCTCCCCCACTCCAGGGGCCGTGCACCCCCTGCGCAGCGGCCTGCTTAACTCCACGTCGGACTCGGACCTCGTGCGCTATCGCACCATTAGCAAGATTCCCCAAATCACCCTCAACTTTGTGGACCTCAAGGGGGACCCCTTCCTGGCTTCGCCCACCAGCGACCGGGAGATCATAGCACCCAAGATAAAGGAAAGGACCCACAATGTCACTGAGAAGGTCACCCAGGTAGGGCCGGCTCCCTGGCTCCCCGCACCGCCCCTTACCTCGGAGGAGCTTGGACGTGGGGTGGGTGTGGACAGTGGCCACAGCAGGGGCAGGGTCCAGTCAGTGAGGGCCTCCATGGCAGGGGTAGCTAAGAGGGGGGGCCGTTCCAGAGCTGGGGTGACAGCAGTCTGAGAAGTCCCAGAGAAGGTGGGGTGGGCGCACAGAGAGGGGAGACGGAGTCCGCAGTGGGGACTGCCTGGCCGCAGCAACCCCACGGCCCCCCCACCCCGCTCCCGTGGGCCCTGCGCTTGGGGGTGGGCAGGGTAGGAGTGGGGATCCCTGCAGAGAGAGCGAAGGTGGGGCGCCTGCCTCAGCGCCAGTGCCCCCCCTGGGGCGCCGCCGCGGCTCCTTCGGGAGCCGGGAGGCAGCCTCTGCTCTCCCCTGCTCCTGCTGCTCTGGCTCTGGGTCCCTGCCAGTCTCCGGCCCCTTGGCCTTCGCTCCAGAACATTCCCACTCTCCCCTGGCCCCGCTGGGCTGCCGCCTCCTCCCCTGCCTGCCCCACCTGGAGCCCTGCTCTGCCCCGCTGTGTCTGCTGTCTGCGCAGCGGCTCGGCTGGGGCTCT